CTGAGCGCATTGCGTGAATCAGAGGTAAAAAAAACGATATAAATACTGTTCAGTTTCTTGCACAGACAGATCGTTTCGTGTCTTAAGACCTCAATGTATCGCAGGGTTTAATTTGGTTTTGTCTGTCTATGTTTTTTTTTTTACTCTCAAAGCCGTGATTCCCATCCACTGACATTATAAGACTGACAGACTGCAACGGTTTGAGTTAAAAATCTCCGTTTGTGTTCTACTGAAGAAACAAAGTCACCTACATCTTGGATGCCCTGGGGGTAAGCAGATAAACATCACATTTTCATTTTTGGGTGAACTATCCCTTTAACATATTTGTATGATTTTAATTCATGAAAATCGAGACCTCTTTATAAATTTTAAGGGGGTAATTAGTATTTAAACTAGCTACTTTTCATGCTACTTAATTGTATGTTAGTTTATAGTTCATATAACAAAAACATAGGCCTTTTACCTTTTTTAATGCATTAAATCAGGGTTGCTCATGCAGGTCCAGGAGAACAACTTTCCTGCAGAATGTAATTCCAACTCTAATGAAATGCACCTGAATCAGCTAAACAAGGTCTTTAGGTTTACTTGAAAATTACAGCCAGGTGGGCTGGAGCAAGATTGCAGGACCAGCAGTGAGAAATAAAATGTAAAAAAAAAAAAGAATAAAAAAATATTATCATCCAATTCTACATTTTAAAAGAACGGTTTTAAATTTGAAAACTTTCCATTTTAAAATGTTAAAAACATGGAATTTTAAAATTTAAAAGAACTATTAAAAAAAATAAATGTTAATAAACAATATTTAAATGTACTAAATGCAGCTGAAAAATTAATACATCTTCTTGCTTTTATTCAAATCATAGATCATGCAAGGCTGCAAAACTGAAAAATGCGTGACATATTATCTTATTATAATCTTATATTCAGGCCTTGATTCCCAACAAGACAAACATTGTGACATGTGTCATTTGTCATTTCTAGAATGTTGAGTTAAAGTGATGACAGTGAAAGTATCTTTTAACATTCATACCACAGAAATTCTATTTTTAGATAGATCCATCTACACAGGGTTAGTCGAGATCAGAAACAAAGCTCGTGTTAATAACAGACTACATTACAAGAAACAACTGACAATCGTGTGTGCAATGAAATATCAAGGAATAGTTCATTCAAAAACAAAAATTTACTGAAAATGTACTCTCAGGCCATCCAAGATGTAGATGAGTTTGTTTTTTCATCAGAACAGATTTGGAGAAATGTAGCATTGCATCACTTGCTCACCAATGGATCCTCTGCAGTGAATGGGTGCCGTCAGAATGAGAGTCCAAACAGCTGATAAAAACATCACAATAATCCACACCATTCCAGTCCATCAATTAATGTCTTATGAAGTGAAAAGCCACGTGTTTGTAAGAAACAAATCCATCAAGACGTTTTAACTTCAAACCATTGTTTCGAGCTAAAATATCCATAAATAATGCATAATATTGCTTTGTTATTGAGTTGTCTTGTCCAAATCAGGACAGAAATCTGCACAGATCAAACACCATTTACAAGTGAAAACAGTCGGAAACCATTCTAAACAAATATGTGGGTGGATTTTGATTTAAGAGACAACAGATGATGGACTTTTTCCACAGGAGGAAGCTTTATTACGGATTATGGACTCTTATTTTGGCCCGAAGTGACAATTTCAATTTAAAATGTCTTGATGGGTTTGTTGTTGCAACTTTTTACTTCACAGAGACGTTAACTGATGGACTGGAGTGGTGTGGAGTACTTGTGGATTATTGTGATGTTTTTATCAGTTGTTTGGACTCTCATTCTGACGGCACCCATTCACTGCAGAGGATACATTGCTGAGCGAGTGATGTGATGCTACATTTCTCCAAATCTGTTCTGATGAAGAAACAAACTCATCTACATCTCGAATGTTCTGAGGGGTGCGTACATTTTCAGCAAATCTTCATTTTTGGGTGAACTATTCCTTTAAAAATGACCACAGAAATGTTTGCACTTCACTTCTGCATCAATCAAAGCTTCAGAGGTGATTTTAGGTTTAGCTGTTATTAAATGTTCTGAAATTACAAAAAAAGTAATGCTTATGAAACCCTTGAATAAGAAAGCACATCATATATCCTCATTGCCCATTTGAAACATCTCATACAGTATTTAATGATAACATATTATATACCAGCTAATATGTTGATAAAGCATGTTTAACAACCAGTATGTAGTAAACAAAGCTTAGCGAAATCCTCCTCAATATTTGAATCCAATGACTCAATTCATCCATCCTTCTAAAAATATAAACTCCCATTCAAAACATATTTATACTTATTTTTGATTTTGAATTTTTTGAAGATTTCATTCTTGCGTATATTAAATACATATATCATAAACTGATAGAAAGCATCGAGTGTTGAGTTGTAATGGGATGCAGCGTGTTTGGATGCTCTTGAAGCTGCTGTGCAAATCCAACACCCTCATTTCATCCAAATCAGTTTAAATCACCATTCAGAGCAATTAGCACCACAGCAGAAAACATGAACTCGCCATCATCGCAGAGATTTGCACGGTGAATGCCAAGAAGCTACAGGTCTGCCAGTCCCGTGAATTTAATTGTAATAACAACAATGTTTGAGAGCATTTGGTTTATTAAAGAACCTTAAACAAGAGAGGAAGCCAAGCCGGTCCTGATTGATTGCTGGACTCAGCGGTTTCTGGCGCGGTGGCAGCCGCAGTGGAAGTCTGCATTAGGGTCGAACAGCAGCGAGTCTCGGTTGTGGTTGTGCGGTAAGCAGTCGAGGTGATACCAGGCGTCGCAGTCGTCACACTGGATCCACTGCACGGTGTCCTGCTGCGGGAGACGACAGTGAGCCGCTGCACAGGATTCAACGCCCTGAGCCACAGCCATCTCTTCATCGTCTTCTTCTTCAGAGGATGATGATGAAGAGGAAGAGGTGGAGCTAGAGGAAGATGATGAAGAAGGAGACGGCAGGGAAGGCTGTGGCAGCGGGTGTTTTCTAGGCCTTCCACGTCGACGCCTGCAAAGAAAAAATTGTAAAATTGTACATTAACAAATGCAATTAATTCATAAAATAAACTACTGATTAAAAATTGTAATGGATTTATTTTTCTAAAATGTTATACTTTTATTTATTGTACTTTTTATTTAATAAATAATTATATAATTATATTATACATATTTTTATATTTTAATCTTTAAGAAAAATATTTAAATTTCCATTCATTTTCAGGCAGTGGAAGTCTGCATTAGGGTCGAAGAGCAGCGAGTCTCGGTTGTGGTTGTGCGGTAAGCAGTCGAGGTGATACCAGGCGTCGCAGTCGTCACACTGGATCCACTGCACGGTGTCCTGCTGCGGGAGACGACAGTGAGCCGCTGCACAGGATTCAACGCCCTGAGCCACAGCCATCTCTTCATCGTCTTCTTCTTCAGAGGATGATGATGAAGAGGAAGAGGTGGAGCTAGAGGAAGATGATGAAGAAGGAGACGGCAGGGAAGGCTGTGGCAGCGGGTGTTTTCTAGGCCTTCCACGTCGACGCCTGCAAAGAAAAAATTGTAAAATTGTACATTAACAAATGCAATTAATTCATAAAATAAACTACTGATTAAAAATTGTAATGGATTTATTTTTCTAAAATGTTATACTTTTATTTATTGTACTTTTTATTTAATAAATAATTATATAATTATATTATACATATTTTTATATTTTAATCTTTAAGAAAAATATTTAAATTTCCATTCATTTTCAGGCTTGGAAATCACAAATCCCCTGATATATATATATATTTTTTTTTCATATTAGAAATATTAATGACTTAAAATTTTATAACACACACACACACACACATATATATATATATATATATATATATACATACACATTCTAATGTTTAATTTAAATATTAATGACTTTAATGTTACAATATTTTTTATTTAACTGATTTCAAATATGTGTACTTTTATATAGAAAAAAATTTTTTTTTTCATGCCTTGAAATCATAAATTCCCTGATATTTTATATAAATGAATGGAATTAACTACAACCCCAATTCCAAAAATCAAGAATGTGTGATTTGTTCATTCTCTTTATTTAACTGACAAAAGTACAAAGAACAGATTTCCAATTATTTCACTGGCCAACTTAAATGTATTTTGTAAATATGAACACATTTTGATTTTGATAGCTGTAACCCACTCCAAAAAGTTGGGACAGAGGCATGTTTGACATTGTCACATCAACTTTCCTTTTAATTAAACATTTGAATAGTCTGGGAATTAAGAATGCTAATTTTTAAAGTTTTGTAAGCAAAACTTTTCCCTAATCTCGCTTGATACAAGACTTCAGCTGCTCATCAGTCCTTAGTCATCGTCGTCTGATTCTTCTTTTCATGACTTTAATAGAAGACAGATCTGCAGGCCTGTCAGTCATATCCACATGTGTCTATAGAACGCTGTTGTAGCACATGCAGAATGAGACCTGGCATTGTCTTGATCTAATAACCATGGACTTCCCATGAAAGACGTCATCTTTATGGCAGTATATGTCTCTGTGCAATTTCAATATATGCCTCCACCTCAATGATCCCTTCACACACATGCCAGTCACCCATGCTGTTTGCACTGATAAACCCCCATAGACGTTTGCTCTTGCACTTGTCGCTGATGAAAGTCTGGATGGTCCCTTTTGTCTTCACCACTGAAAATTTGATGTTTGTTTTCCCCTAAAACAAGCCGTCTTTTGGACCATCTGAGATGAGCTCGGACCCAGAGAACTTGCTGACGTCTCTGCCTAGAATTCATGTATAGATTTCTCCTTGTGTAAATAGAGATTCAAGTTGCATTTCTTGATGCAGCTGTTTTCTGAAGTACTCCTGAGCCCATGCGGCTATATTTAACACCGCAGCACGACGGTTTCTTACGCAGTGCCATCTAATGGTCAAAGGTCACACACATTCAACTGAGGTTTCCTGCCTCGCCCTTCACAGACTGAGATTTCTCTGGATTCCCTGAATCTTTTCACAATATTATGTATGGTAGTTGGTGAGAGACCTAAATTCTTTGCAATTTTGCATTGAGAAATGTGATTTTTGAGTTTCTGACAATTCTGTCATGAAATTTGGCACAAAGTAACGAGCCGTGATCCAGCTTTCCTGGCAAAGACTGAGATGCTGCTTTTACACCCAATCACCTTTTACCAATTCACCTGCTTATTGCGGACTGTTTCAAAACCGTTTAACATGGATATTCTAGAATCTTTTCACTTTTATTATGCCTCTTTGCCAACTTTTTTGGAGTGTGATGCTTTTTTTTATATATTTACAAAATACATTTAAGTTGGTCAGTGAAACATTGGAAATCTTTTCTTTGTACTTTTGTCAATTAAATAAAGGTTAAAGAGAATGAACAAATCACAGATTCTTGATTTTATTGCATTTTACAAAACATCCCAACTTTTCTAGAATTATGGTTATAGAAAAGTACACTCACTATTAGAAATATTAATTGTATAATTTTTATAATATTCAGAATAGAATAAAGATTTTAGAATAAAGATCTTAGAACTTTCCATACATTTCCAAGACTTGGAAATCACAAATTACATGATATTTCATTTTAACAAATGTAGTTAATTAAATACTATTAGAAATTTTCTAAAAAAAATTTGGAATGGAGATGCAGGCCTCAGAATCACAAAATCCTGTTTTTTCCCAGGTTCTTCATGACTGTGACAATCCCGTGTGTAACTATCAAGTATTACTCACCCAGTTGAGGCCTGAAAGCGAGAAATCACGCCCCTCGCTTTCTCGGTCTTGGGCATCCTCGTTGACGGGGAGGTCAGTTTGTAATTCTCACTTCCCATCCCGAGGGTCGTGTATATCGGAGAGCTGTTTGCCCTCGGCCTCCTTCCAGGTCCAGACAAGCAGGGCTTCTGCTGGCGGAGGGGAGTCAAACTGATGCCGTTGCCTCTGGTGTGACTCGATATGTTCACAATATGATTGAACTGCCTGTTTGGTGGCACACTGAAAATGCTGCCGCCGGAGGGTTTGCTCACATCATACTGTGACCGAAAGTTCTGCTCCAGTTTGGGTAGAGGGGGCTGTAACACCTCTGACTCTGATTTGTAAAGCCGGCGTCTTTTCTTGGCTTGTCCCCTGCGTCCGTCCTCCAGGTCTCTGCGGTTCGCGGGATCGTCCGAACTGTCCTCCAGCAGAACCGTGTGGGCAGACTTGCGTCGACTCTTTGAGGACGGCGGGACAGACTTGGACGAAATCTCGCCAGCGGCCTGGAAAGGAGGCGGAGTGGTGGGTGGGGCCAAAGCGCTGAACACCGGCGTATTTAAGGTGCTCGTTTTCTCGCTCTTTTTAAAGGTCCAGCAACTGCCGTTCATCTTGCTCAGGCTGCCGATGGAGTTGAGGATGACTGTGGCTCTGTTGATGGATAGCTTAGAAATGTCCACGCCGGGGTCTGGTTTACGGTCCGAGCACGTTCTGATCCGGTTCTTTATGTCCGATGAGAAGGAACCCACTTTGGGCACAGTGATGGCGTCAAAGTCCAGCGGATGAACCCGTACTTTCTGGAAGAGGAAGTAGAATTCTGGACTAGCCCGTCCTGATTGGCCACCAATGGTGAGTGTGTCGCCATCAAAGATTTCCTTTAAGACTCCTTGTTGGAGGCGCATCTCATTTACCCATGTGCCTGAAGAACAGAGAGAAACTTTTTAGAAGAGATTTTATTGTCTACATCAGGGCTCATAATAAAATAATCTACACGTGTCCCAGAATGCAAATGTGTAGGTCATGTTCACATAAAAATACCATTAGACTACAGCAGAATATTCTGAAACAAAGAAAACACTCATTTCAGCAATACTGCATTTATAATATTTTTTATATATATATATTGAAATCATCATTAAAATAGTTATACCAACTCTATCTATCTATCTACTAGGGCTGTGCAATTAATCGCATGCGATTGTCAAGCGCATCTAGTCAGGAAAGCCGGTTCTGTGATTAGTAGTAAATCGCCATCACCTGCTTTCAGATGGAGCGGCATTTACTACACAGAGCCGTAGTTCACTGACAAGCTAGGCAACATCGCGTTCATAATCGAATGCGATTCATCTGCAATTAAGCTTGTCAGTGAACTACGGCTCTGTGTAGTAAATGCCTCTCCATCTGAAAGCAGGTGATGGAGATTTACTATAGAAAAAATAAATTGTATATTTATGTATATTTATTTGTATACTGAAATCATCCTTAAAATGGTTAAATCTATACATACACACACACACACATTTATACTATGAAACTATTTATGTTATATAATAGTTTATAATATATATATTTGTAATATATAAAAATACAAAAGAATAATCAATATAATAAATATATATGATATATGTTTATAACACACCATAGCTGCTGCGGTCCTTCACTTGAACTTTCCAGCTTTCTTCTCCAGAGGCATCAGTTTCTCTTTCCACATGGAGCTCTGCATGGATACGGGACACGATCGTGGACTCCAGAGTGACGTCACACAGTTCTGGGGCCCGTCCCAAACGGAACACACACTGGGCCAGTGCGGGTCGGAAAGTGTACAGGTCACGGACGGAGTCTGAGGACTCGTTTCCATGAGCGTTACTATTGTTTGTGTCAGACAATCCAATCCTCAACAGCTGAAAACATGGCTGGACTCCTGACGACATTTTGACATCCCACAAATAAATGTGCAGGAAAAACTGCAACACAGCCGGCAAACCAGAGCCTCTCACATAACACTGGGCTAAACGTCCTCCATCGAAGACCCTCCAGTCAGAAAGACTTTCGAATATGACCCTTATGAATGCTTATTATGCCCAGTAAATAAAATCTGACATGCTAAAAAAAAAAAAAAAATTTAATATTTGGAGGACAAACTAAAACACTGGAGCACAGATATTTCTGCACTAATATCTAGGTAGATGAAATATTAAAAGTGGATATGTAGAGGCCTGGCCAGATGCTCAATTGCTGGTCTTCATTCTGGAAAACAACAATACAGGGCTTTAGTGGCACTATCAATATCAACGTTTTTTTTTTTATTGCATTTGATTAATTATATAAGTGCATATTACAGTATAATATATAAACATTTCAATATTTAAATATTATGCATTACTCTTTATACAGAGTAATAGAAAATATAATAAAGGAAGGCATGTAAGAAATACTTTTATTGCATTAAATACACATATGTGTGTGTGTGTGTGTGTATATGTATATATATATATATATATATATAAACA